ATTATTCTTTTATTGGATTATCTATTAATTATCATCTTGAGACATATCAAATTTCTAATTATCCTATTAGAATATCCTCTCAAGACTTTTACTTCTATTATTATTCTCTTCAATCTAATTTTTCATTACAATTTCTTATCTTTTGTTTGCTCACAGAACATATTGGAGCAATATCAATCAATCAAATCACATATTTATTAATTTAACTTAATCTTAGTGAAATATACATTAGCTGATTAAAATAAAGAATAGTATAACTAGTAAATATTTTATATTTGACCATATCAATACACAAGAAGAACAACTCAATTTAATTAAATAATTTTACTAACAGTTCATCTATTAAGACTTTATCTTTTAATCAAGAACTTCTTCTGTTAATAGTGATATTAACAGATACTATTCATAAATAAAGAACTCAGAAGATATATCAACATCACCTATTCAGATTATATTAACTTCAGAATCAGAAGAAAGCAATAATTCTTCAGATTTAGAAGAAGATATTCAAACAGATTCAGAAGATAACAATCAACTATCAGAAGAAGAAGATAATCAAATGGTACAACCAAATTTAGATAATCTTATTACAGCTCTTGAAGTTCTTATCAATTGCATAACTGATCAAAATATCTGGTCTATGAAAAAGATTATTATACCTATTAGAAAATATTAAGAAAATGATCAAGATCCAACAGAGTAACTCAAAGACTTTAATATTATCATACAAGCTAATAGTATTACTGATATTAGAAAAATTCAGCTAGTTAGAGAATATCTAGAAGGTGCTGCTGCCCTGTGATATGATGAAAGAGAAAGAGATAATATCACCCTAATAACAGTCTGAAATGATAATAATAATTAACCATATAGTTTCAGTTATCAGTTTGCAGCTCACTTCCATACTTGAAAAAGAATTGACTAATGACAAGATAAGATTAAAACATTACAACAAACCAGTATCATGAAAGAATATACAGACAAATTCATAAATTTACTTTGTAAAGTAGATTTAAAAAATAAATATCCAAAAGAATATAAAATCTGAACATACTGAAAAGAATTGAAATCAGAGATCAGAAAATAGATTTAGATCTCAGCTGATAGTACTTTCTTAAACATAGTACAAGTTGCCAAGAATATAGAAAAAGCTGATATTAATATTCTAACCTGAGGATATTATTAATCTCAAATTCAAGATAACTCAATATTGAATGCTATATTGATAGCACTTCAAGATCTCAATCAATAAATAGAAAGTATTAAAACTAATAAAGGATCTAATTATAATAAAAATAATTCAGATTATAGATCTAATAGTTAAAATTCTAAATCAGTCTCAACCTGTTATAATTATAATAAGCCAAAATATATTTGTTCTAATTATTCTCAGCTATAATCATATCAAAATAATAAGAATAACTTTGAAAATAATTACCAAAGAACTAATAGAAATAATTAGTAATAAAATAATGTGTTATCAAATCAGGCAAATACTAATAACAACCAAAATGCAAATAATAATCAGAATATATTATTAGCTTAAATACAAGCTCTCACTGATAGTATTTAAATATTAACTACCAAACCTGACAATGTAAATTTGCTACTTGGTATATATGAATATTTGACTGCTAAAAAGAAATCCAGAAATGCCAGAATTACTTCTTATAGAACCAAATCCATAGGTCAACCCATAAAGAAATAGTTAATGAAAATAAAAAACTAAATAATAATGAAGAAAAAGAACAAGAAGATACTCCTGAAGTTATTCTTGATCAGTATAATAATTTTGATTAGGTTATCTTTCTTTAGATCTCTTTTAGCTTAGATCTTTATTTTGCACTATTTGTATAACAGATTAGCTTTGTATTACATTTTTAAGAAGATCATTTTCACTCTGGATACACAGATAATTATTATATATTTAATACATCTAAATTTAATACATTATTATTCAGATAATTATTATGTGTATTATAATTATTAATTTAGATTATTAATGTTTTTAATTATATTTATTATTAATATTTCTTTATATTTTTATTCATTCTTCTTAATTATTATTTATATTATTATTTATAATTATTTATCATATTATTAATTATTGGATTATGATTAGTTACCCTTCAGAGATGTAAATTAAGTTAATTAATTTTATTCAACCTATATGTATTTTATTTATAGATTTATTATTAATTTATTTGCATTTCATATTTATTTCTTTTATTATAAATATAATCTGTCTGTTCTGTAAAATAACTTGTTTACAATTATTAACAAAATAATCTTACATCATGTCTTTCTTTCATTTGTTATTACTATTTTTTAATTTAATTTTATATTGTATTGATATTATCTGATAAATGATGAATTAATAAAAATATTCAATCTAATATTTCATCTTTTTCATTTTTATTTTCTGCTATTGGTGATGAATATTTTAAATTAATAGATAATCAGATATTTCTTCCATAGATCAAGAAGAAAGATTCATGTTTGATAGTATTATTTTAAAGTATTCTGTATGCAAATAATACTAATGATATATATATATCTCATTGTTCATCTAATATAATACAATACTTTTGAAGTATTCTACATAAAGTTCTATTAAATTATTCTACTATTCCATTAATTTGTAGATAATATGATGATGAAAACTTGTATTTAATTTCAAATCAAATGATGAGTTCTTCAATTACTTGGGTTGTAAATTCAGTTTCTTGATTAGATTGTAATTTTTAGGATATTTATGTCTACAAATTATTTCTTCAAAAATAAATTTGACAATTGTACTAGCTTCTTTATTTGAAATTGGTTTTGCTTTAGGCTATTTAGTGAGTAAATCTATTACTATAGCAATATATTGATTTCTTTTCTTGATTACTTTGCAAGATTCAACTAAATTAATTATAATTCTATTAAAAAACTATTCAACTTTAATAGGATGTAGAGATTGTTTTATAATTCATTTACCAGTTCTTTGATAAGTTTTACAAGATTTAATAAAGTTCTTTATATTTGTTTCCAATTTATTTTATCAATATCTAATAGCTATTCATTGATAAGTTTCATCAAATCCAAAGTATCCAGCAAGTAAATCTGAATGTATGCTAGTCATTACTATTTTAATTTCATTTTTCTTCAATACTTAAAGTAATGTAATAGGTTCTTTCCTTTTATTCTTTTTATAAAATGTTTCATTAATAATTAAAAAGTATTTTGATTGCTAACAAATTTTCTTTTGTTGTTCTTCAATATATCCTACAGGATAATTTTCATTTTTCAAGTATCTCATTAAGTCATAATATATAGTTAAATCCATTATGTTGAGTTAATCAGGTTTTGATAATTTATTTAATTAAATATCTAGTAAAAGTTATTTCAAATAATTCATTAATTAAGTGAGTTTGATGTTCTACTCTTGCAAATATATTCTTGAGAGAATATTCACATTTTGATTGATTTTTCCAGCTCTATAGGTAACAATAAAGTTGTATTCCATCATGGTTGTTCTGTTGCCATCTCAACAATTTAACTATCAATTCCTTAGTCACATTTGTAATAGATTCTGTAACTAACTCTTGAATTGTTGATATATCAGAGGATTCGAAAAACAATTCAGTTTTCTCATCATAATTTTCCTGTAAGAGAAATCAAACGATAACATGATAATTAGATTAAAGTATTTATAAGATTAAATGTAAACATTGCCTAACAACATTTCTTATACCTCGAATTTCCCGTTATCAATCTCTGGTTTATCACCCTTGCCTGCATGATGTGATCGTGAATCAGGCCGTGTTATGCATACTCTCTAAAATACAAAGTTTCAAATTTGATACATGAACTAGCATGAAAGTTCTAGGGATCAATATGGCATATTACGTACTTTTTCAGGTTTATATTCTTGATCAGATCCTTGTTCGGAATAGTCTGGGATATCTCTTCCATATCTTGTTTGACATCGCTTTTGTTTCGAATTATTATGAGCTTTTTTTGAACTAGTACTTTCCTCCACTTCCTCTTCATCACTGAAAATATCCTTATTCGTTTGGTCAAGCAATTTCGCAGATCCAGCTGTGTATTCAGATAAAGACTCCTTTCGTGGAGTGACAACACGTCGAAGAGGGGCTTTATCTTTCAGAAATTCAGCAGATGACCGTTTTTTCTCATTTTTCTATAAAATATTTCATGAATGGTGGTAAGATATTGCGAGAAATAAAAGCAAGAACATGCACAATATTCTCACCAAATTTTCTATGGCAGTTGCAAACACTTCTTCAGTGTATGAGATGGCCTCATCAAAAACACTCTGGACTGCTTCGATCTCAAAAATAGACCCTCTTATTCAATTCAAGTTGAGGAGGTTGAGTTGAAATAGGAGTAAAGCTGATTTCTTTAATTAATTTATTAGTTACTGCTTCTTTTGGAATCAGTTTCAAAGTCATAGGCCATTTTCCTTTATCTAATTTAACTGAAAACTCAGATCGTACACAATTATTATATTTATAATATTCCATAAAATATTTCGCTAGATACCTACCTTCTTAACTTCCAATTCTTTTTGTTTGGTTTGGATGGTCTCAACCGTATTCCAGAAGGTATTACCTCGTCATAATCAGTACGATGTTTCTTTTTATCAAAGGAGAATGCAAAGAAAGCAAAGTCATTAGCACTTTTCAAAGCAAGAAATAAGGTTATGCTTTCTAACAGGAAAGACTCATTGCAAAGCAGAACAACAATCACGCAGATCGTTGAAGGGCAACACGTAGCTTGCTCCACTCGTAGGAAGGATATCTATTACTTCCATAAAACCACAACAATCACGCAGATCATAAAGGAGACAACACGCAGTTGTTTCCCTTAGTTATGGGTGGAAAAACCTTTACTGCCTTTGAATAGTCTCTTAACCCACAACAATCACGCAGATCATAAAGAGAACAACACGCAGTTGTCCCCCTTAGTCATAGGTAGGTAATCATTGCAATCTTTCCAACAAGAAAAAGTACTTGCCTTAAATGTATTCAAGAGACGTTTGGCGTGCTTCTTAGCTTCATACGAGCCCATCTCTAACAAACAATCTAATGATTTCTTCAGCACGAAAGATTCCCTTGAAAATGAGTTATTAAAGTCACTTTGACGTTGACGATGCTGGTAGAAGTCGAAGAAGCGCCATTTATCAGGTTCTATCTCGTCGAAATAGGAATCCCAGCTTTTAATTTAATGAGTCTGTGATAAGGGGAGCGCGTAATTAAATTTTACTATGAGCTCACCCCCCCCTTGTGACTTTTAATTAATCGTGATTTTAATCCTGTGATGCTAATGTTTGATTTTACGCGCTTTACGCGACTTTATTATAAATACATTGCTTTTGCATAAAATTTTGTTTTATGTGACAACTAATAAATACAATAAAGTCATTCTATGCAACTCTCCCCAGCTATCCTAATGCAATCTTTTCTCTCTATTCCAAGTTTTTCCAAGTCCTTCTTTTACAAAAATTCAAAGATATTATAATGCATATGCGTATGCATATTTGATACTCTAATACTCCAAAATAAAGAAAATCTTGTGAAAGAATGCAACCTAGCATAAAAAGAAATTAAAAAAAAGAATACAGAATCTATCAACACCAAAATTAAGATGCTTTTTGATTTTACTTTCCCAATAATCCAGTCTTATTAGAGATATATAAATGGATAATTATTTCAAATATCTGATTCTACCATTACACTCTCAGTAAATTAGCAATACATCTTGAAAAAGCCATTTTCTAGTATACTAAAAATCATATCAAATGCTATTGGTCAAACATTAGTAGCAAATATTATAACTAATGCTGAAGAAAAATGAGAATAATTTATCAAAATGATAATTATAACTAATAATATTGATTTATAATGAATATATCATATTAGTGAAATTAAATAAACTTGATTATGAGATTGCTAAATAAAATAAGAGATTAGAATAATTCAAATATTACACTATTATAAAAGTCAAATCTTGAATCAAAAATCAAGATACTTGAAAGAAAAAATTATTAAAATATATGATAAATCAGGATGACTATTAGCTGCAACTATTTATTTTGACTTTTAAAAAAATATTCATAATTATGTAAAGTTTAGTATTATATTTGCAAGGTAAAAAAAGAGTATAATTAAAGTAAAAATAATAAAGTATTTAAAAGAAGAACTTGAAAAAAAATATCAAATCTATCTTATAAAATAAATATTTTTTATTTTATTATAATATTAAAACTTATTTGCTATCAAATAATATTATTATTTAGCTCAAATTGAAATTAATTTAGTTTAAAGATAGTATTACAACTTGATTATAATTCTCTGATTAGCTGTTATAATTGATTATAATTCTCTGATTAGCTATTACAAATCACAATTAATTAAGATAATATCTCTAGTTTAATTATATAAACTGAGATAAAAATATATATTAATGAGTATTATTATTTGATATTAGTCAAATTAATAAAAATTTTTATTGCAAGCTTTTTAAAACTGTATAATTCTTGATGAAAAGAATAATAATAAATATTTTTATCTATATTTTAACAATAAAATATTCAAAACTCATGAAAATTTGTAGATATATTTTTTAGAATATTATAAATAAGACTTTCTAATAGTATAAGATATATTAGCTTAATAAAATTTTGTGAAATTTTATATTAAATGTAATAAATTAGATATCTATATAAAATAATTTTAAAAAAAATTATTTAAAATTATTTCTAATAAATATTCTTGAAAATATTTTTGAAAATATTTTTGTAAAAATATATTTTAAAAAAGTTTAAAAAAATTTTTATTATATATTTATTTAATAAATATGAGTTAAAAAAGATTTTATTTTAATAATTTTTATAAGAAATTATAGTAAAATATAGTAAAAATAAATTTTTACTATGATTTATTATAAAATTTATCAAAATAAATTCTTTTTTTAACTGATATTTATTAAATAAATATGCAATAAAAAATTTTTTTAAACTTAGAAATATATTCTTTATATTTTAAAATACATTTTTAAAAAATAATTCAAAATTATTTATTAGAAATAATTTTAAAAATAATTTTTTTTTCAAAGTTATTTCATATAAATACCTAATTTATTATATTTAATATAATATTTCACAAATTTTTATTAAGTTAATATGCCTTATATTATTAGAAAATCTTATTTATAATATCTTAAAAAATATATTTATAAATTTTTATATATTAAATTATAGGTGAAGATGTTCATTATTATTCTTTTTACTAGAAACTTTATATTAATTTTTTAAAATTAATTTAAAAATATAATATAAATATTCTTTAATAAATAATTCTAAATAAATTTTTTTATAGATATTAAAATATAGATATTAATTTTTATATAAGTTTAATTAATTATTATTATATAATTACTTTTTAAATCTATCCAAATTTTTTTTTTAAAAATTTATATATTAAAAAATTAAATATTATTAAAAATTAAAATATTTTAATTTTTAAATAAAAATAATATATTAAAATATTAAATATTTTAATAAGTATAAATATTTTATTAAATAATATCTTATATAAAATTATTATTTAGAATTTTAAATTTTATTTTTATTTAAAATTATTTTAATTAATATATATAGTCCCTGGTGAAAGTAGTGGCGCATAACGTTTTCATCTATATTTTAATAATGAAGTATTCAAAACTCACAAAGTTTGTAAATATATTCTTTAGGATATTACGAACAAGATTCTCTAATAGCGCAAGACATGTTAGCTTAATAAAATTTTGTGAAATTTTGCGTCAAATGTGTTGGATTAGGTATCTACACAAAATAACTTTGAAAAAAAAATTATTTAAAAATATTTT